TGAGAGATGTGGTCGAACAACGATTGACCAGATGATTGGTTCGATTCTGCGCTACTCGTGATTGTGGTGCTCGAGGGTGCTGCTGTCCGGGTGAAAATCCGTTCACAGCGCCTCCCGGATATCCACGTCGACTTAGGATACAACAGACCAGACTGACCGTCAGGATCACAACCAGACCGGAACAGAGTAAAATAGCAACCGTGAGCTTCAATTTCTCGGTGAACACGGTTTGCGTCGCTGTCGGCTGGTCACGGTTATCCTGTGAATTAGTTTCTTTGGAACGTTCTGCTTGGCTTTGTTTATGTTCCGGGGTTCCTTCCTGTCCGCCATTCGTATCAACAATGCTACTGAGATTTACATAAAAATAGCCAAATGTTTGTAGCTTACGTGATTTTCCGTTATCTTGGACCAGAACGGCGGACATGTATAACCAGTTCGGATTGAGGAATGTGCTTAGCACTTTCATGGTCCCATCCGAATAAATTTCCAACGCTTCATTAGGTAAATCCATCGCATGGCCTCGAATGCCCGGGCTGAGTTGATTTGGGTTCAGTTTATAAAATGTGAGGCGAGCATTTTCTCCCTGATCTCTATCAGTCGCTTGCATCTCTGCTAGCCATTCGTTTGTGCTCCCCGTGGAACGATCTTGGAACCACGTGACCTGTAGAAGCCGGGGTAAACCCACTGAGGGCAAACGCAGTCGCATTGGTGGGCCTACAACCTCTAATCCGTTCAGAAAGGCAGCACCAGTTTGAACAGGAAACACAGTTATGTGATCATTCGGGACAATCATGTGGGGCATCCATTCGGGTGTATTGTCATTCACATCCATTACATAAATCGGAATGCGTGTGATCACGCTACGTTTTAATACTTGACCACGATCTTCAAGAAGTACTCGAAGCTGATATGCTTGAACCAATTCTCGATCAATCAGAGGGTGTTGATCTCGTTCCAGTGTCACCTGACCGGTGTTTGGATGAATGTCGAATCGAGGCAGATGTATCTCGACTCCAATGGGTGGGCGATCAGCTCGCTCCGCGGTGAGACCCTCCAGTTGATAAGTGATAGTACCATTCTCACCGGCGTCCGGGTCACGTGCAATGATTGTGCCAACTTGCAGTGGATAAGACAGGAGGGATTCTGCCGTATCCATCACTTGTGCATCCCACTCAATTACAGACAATCCACTGATCATTAGGGATGGAATGAGAGCGGGAGCGTTATCGTTCACATCGGCTACATGCACCGTTAATTTTGCTTGAGCCATTCGACGATTCACAGACTGATCTGAGACAGATGTTGGCTTTTCACCATCATCCATTTCTTCCTCTTCTTCAGCCACAATCAAACATTCGAACGAGGCGGCCACTTCACGATCTATCCCGTGTGGTGTGCTTAGGGCTCCGTTCAACGGATCCAGATAGAATTGTTGACACGGTCGTTCATGCTCCACAGTCGCTTTGAGACGAAACTGTGCTCGAACACTGATCTCTTGTAGTTGAACACGTAGCAGTTGGGTCTGCGGTCGATTGGTCTCGATCACGTGAAGAGTGTACGATTTTTGCTCGAAACACAATTCCTGTACACGTCGATCTACAACCGTAACAGTCAGTTTGACAGATGATGTGAGTGGATGAGGTTTACCTTTATCCGCACAAATGATTAACATAGTGGTAAACGGCTTTTCCACATCTGATAGATTCAAATTTCTCGTCATCGATCGAAAATTATTAGACTGTGTGGATATTCGCGTTTGCAACATGTACACATATCGATCGGACACTTTACCGGTACCCACTAGTTTAAGTTCAATGCCAAATAATCGATGAATTTCATTATCCATCATTTCGATCCAACAATCCACCATTCCATTCAGGTCTAGGTCTGCGTCAGATACAAATACCAAACCGACGTGGTTATTAGTCTCCACAGCTCGATCAATCACCAGTTCATTTGTCTCATCCTCCTCGTGATTACAACCAACTCGTTTCACCACAATCTGTGGAGCGTGATTGTTTGCATCAGAGATGTGAATCACAAGCATCAGTTTGGTGGATTTCCGTGGTACACCGTTATCACTAATCAGTATCATGATACGAAATGTTGGCGTATCATGAGCGGATACGTTACGAGCCAGGCGTAATTCACCCGTGCTTGGATCGATAGTGATCCATTGGGTAGCGTTTTTCAATGTTCCCATCGGAATGGAAGGATTATCCGCGGACTGGAGGCTATAAGTGAGTCGTCCAGCTTCACCGTCATCAACATCCGTTGCTTCAACTTTAAGCAACACGGTACCCACAGATACGGATTCTGAAATCGTCAATTCATGAATCGATTGAATAGGATAGATTAGACGTGGCTCATTGTCGTTCACGTCACGAACTAATACACGTACCGGTAAACGAGCACATTTTATATCACTTTTATTTGTTTGCATCTTTGTCGAACAGGCAATTAACCCAAGACGATACTCTTTTTGTTCCTCATAGTCCAGGGGTTGGAGCACTCTCAAAATGGGAGAGTCATTGCCCATTT